TTGGGGTTCTTGGGGTTTGAGGGAGAATCGAGGCTTTGGGGTTCCTGTTTCAACTACGTTACCGCGAGAAAAATGGGACGAATTGAGTTTGTTTGATGTGTTGTTCTCTCCTATGCTACGAGGGTTTTCTACGGGTTCTCTGGTTTCATCCCTCCATAAAAATCAACATGTGCGTTGARCATTGTGTGCATAGAACATTAAATGTACTGGTAGTGCGTGTGAGCGAAAAGTGTCCCCAGTTAGTGCGAAAGAACGACTAGACACTTAAATTAAAGACTTTTTAAAATTTTTTTTATGATGCAAAGTATATTATATTGGATCTTTGTCTCCTATTTTCAGGTACTTCCAAGGCAGACCTGCGGCTTGTACACAAAGACCATCTTACTAAAAAACTACCCCAGGGGTGCTAAGAGACTGGAAAACAGCATCTATGGAGGAAACCTTTTCCAATTATTCGTAGATAATCCTGTAAGATATTGAAGAAATAGAAAACGCGCGCGCGTGCTGTGTGCAGTTATGGAAGCAATCGAGGATTGGCAGAACACGAGAGAAGTGTTAGGAGAAGCCAATCCCCAAGTGCTTTATATATCCACATAACACAGCAAGCGTTTTTATTTCTTTTATAAAATGCAAAGGGCGCGTGTGTGCTGTGTGCTCTCTTTAAGCACGCGCTCCCAACCAATCAGAATGCGAGATTTATAACAGTTGTTTTATAATTTCCTATATTCACAATCATTATCATCATCACAAACATCACCATCAGCAGCAACATCGTCATCATCATCATCATTACCCGGCTCCATCATCATCATCATCATTATGCATCATCATTATATCATCATCGTCGTCATCATCATCACCATTCTCATTACCATCACCATCATCCTCTTTACCATCATCATCACCATCATCATCACTATCATCACCATCATCATTACTATCATCATCACCATCATCATCACTATCATCATCACCATCATCATCATCACTATCATCATCATCACCATCATCATCACCATCATCACCACCATTCTCATCACCATCACCATCATCCTCTTTACCATCATCATCATCACCATCATCACCATCATCATATTTTTATAAATAATTTATCCTTTTGTCCGCAGATAAATATTTTTATGACTCACATGTCTAATTACGGCAATGACAGACTAGCATTACACACCTTTGATAATGTCGTCAAGTATCTGCAGTGCTGGACAAACCTGAAGCTGAGAACAGAACACCCACTTGTGCTTGCCGACATGTACTTCAAGCTGTTCCCTGACGAAAAGAAACCYTTATGGGGGGTATGTGATAATAATWAAAATRTSATTATCAATAACCCCCTTCACTGTTCTCTGCGTCATCTTCAAAGGTGACAATGCCTGTGTATCCAGGTGAGAACTACGGTGACCTTGCCGTGATAGAGAACCTTTTTACAGTGCGACTACTGTAACCAGGGCCACTAAGCCCCGTTTACACTGGCGAATTTTGCGGCGATTTTTGCTGCGATTTTTGTGGCAATTTTCGGGAATATGAAATCTTTTGTCTCATCTTTCAGAAGAGACATTCGTCTAGGAAAATCTTGGTATCCTGAAAAAAACTTTACAAGTAAATTCTTAAAAGTCGCAGCAAAAATCGCTGCAAAAATCGCCAGTGTAAACGGGGCTTTAGACCAGTTAGACAAGAGAACCAATTAAAATGGAGAATGAAAACAATGCATTCAAACTATGGGTAGTGGAGCCAATCAGAAACCTAGACTAGCACGAGAATGGTAATTTGACCCTTGTGTTCCGTGTAAACTTAACAAATTGACATCAGTTTTTATGTGTCTGTCCTCTTATTGAAGATAAATTTCGTCATCTTATCGTCAAAGTAGTGTGAATCCACACATAAAAGAGTGATGTCAATCTGTTTTTTACAATAACAAAAACGATAAAAACTTCTCATTTTTACTGATCAAAACAACCAACGCAAAGAGCGCGCGCTCGTTGACGTCAGCTTTATCTGTCTGTCCTTTCATTGATGATAAAAAAATAACCAATCAGCGCGCGAGAAAGTGTAAGTTATTGTAAAGAACTAGATAGCCATCTTTATTTTCTCGAGGAAATAAAAAGATGTGGAAAGGCTTTTGTTTTCTGTGGATTTTTGATTGGCTGCACTACCCTAAGTCGGAATGTATTGTTTTTGTTCTACAATTTGTTTTGTTCTCGCTGTCTAAGTGCATGGCCCCAGTATAGTAGTCACACTGTAATACCTTGGACAGTTGACCATTTTTCAGTTCCAGATAACTGCTGTGTTCCTTGATTACAGAGTCATCGTCTGTATCAGTGTCTAAATATTCACAAATACCAACGGTAAAGTAAAGAATGCACAACTTCGACAATACAAACGCTTTGAAAGTCGACGGAACTTGACTGAAATATTGTGCACAAAATCGAGGCTAACCTGTGTATATGAGTCTGTAATCAAGAAACAAAGCGGTAATTTGGAACTTGAAATGGTCCGTTATGAATGTCTTCTTCATTGCAAGGTCATTGCATCTCGCTTCGATGCACAGGCGTGATTACCTTTCAAGATGGCACAGTCAATTGTGAAGGGAAACCTTAATCGAAGTTAACAGCCCCCTTCACAGTGGTGGTTAACAATTATTGAACCAGCGGTTGTGTGTCACAACAACATGCGCATGTTCGTGTTTGCTTTACCCTCGCAGTTACATGCCCAAAGGAATAGTCCCCTTCACAGTTCTCTGCGCACTCTTGAATGGTAGCCGTGCCTTTGCATCGAAGCGAGACGAACGGTGAGCTTGCAATGATAGAGACATGTGAATAATTGTCCAAAGTGTTAAGAAAAGGTCTCTATCATTGCAAGCTCACCGTTCGTCTCGCTTCGATGCAAAGGCACGGCTACCTTTCAAGATGGCGCAGGAAACTGTGAAGGGGACTATTTACTATTTAAGCTAA